TCATCATCATCTTTGAACTGCAGAGCTGGAAGGGACCCTATGGATTATTGAGTCCAAGAGTCCTGTCAAAGAGGCACAGCGGGGAATGGAACTCCAAACCTCTGGCCCCACATAGTGGCTTGCAGAATATTTGGCTGCCGATTCATAGGTTAGATCTGAAAAGAAAGGCAGCTGTTGAAGAAGGACAGATGCAGCAATGAAAAAAAAAATCAGATTTTTTTTTTACAAGTGTTGGGTTCTCCCATTCTGCATGGGATACACTGTACCCCAGAAGGATACCATCGGTTGTGGTGCTTGAGCAACTGTGACTTAGTATGTTATTTGTATGTTTGGAATGCTCCCGTGTATTCCATACAGGGCTGCCCTTGAAGTCTTCGGAAGTTACCCCTGGTATTGAATGATGTAACCATCTCCTTTTGAAAGAGTTGGGCTCTAAATGGGACTGCAAGCAAAAAGGTGCCTTTTTGAATGCAGAATACCTTTGTCTCAATATATAGTTCATGCCTTTTCCTTCTGCAGAATGCAAAGCGCTTCTACAAGATGTACTTAGCACATATAGGAAGGAGGAGATTTCAGACGCGATATACAATCTGATGCATGCAAAGGTGAGTCATCGCCACTGGTGTTTGGAACGTGTGTCACCCTGTAATTGTTTTACTTGATCCATTTCTGGGATCAAGTCAAAGCGTTGATTTGGATCTGTAAAGCCACTTATATTTGGGGGACTCTTGGCATTTGAAAGGTTTGCCTGTCCCATATGAGTATTTCCCTGGTCCCTAAAATCATCAGCCAAGGTTCTCCAGAAATGTAAGCTTTGAAGACACGGGACTTGTCACTTTGCTCCTCACCAAAACTACCATTGTAATAGTTTCTTTTCATCTTCACTGCCGCAGCTTCGTCCCACAATAACTTCAAATGTTATACTATTTCTCTTTCTCATCTGGTGGACTTGAAAGCTTGCCGAATGTGTAACTTTTAAGTGATTCAGTAAAGATAGTAATCATTATCATCATGTTTATTAGTGCTTTAATAGTAGAAAGTAGGGCTTTAATAAGTATAAATAAGTTAAGTATAAATAAGTTAAATAAGTTAAGTTTAATAAGTTAAGTAAGTTAAAGTAGGGCTTTAATAGAAGAACAACCTTCAGAACACGGCCAAAGAGCCCAAAAAACCCACAACAACCAGCTTTAATAGTACTTTCTAGGCAGAGACTACTCAGAAGTGGTTTACGGTTATGTCTGCGACGGTACAGCTTGCCCAAGGCCACCCAGGCTGGCTCTTCTCCCAAGGGTCACAGTGTTATAGACCCCATAACATCATTTTCTACTTATTATTATTAATTTCATTGATTTTTTTTAAAAAATTAATAAACTTTTTTAAAAAAATGTTTTTTATTTTCCGTAACTAGTTATATGAAGCGTTTCGTCCATTAACGCTAATTCATGGGGTACATTTCTTTTTCAGGATTGTGCCGTAGCTGCTGCCAAAGGCCCAGGATCTCATGTTCTTGGAACCGACATACACAATTTGGAGGTGAGGAGGAGCCCAAGGACAAAGGAAGACGATTTTATAGTGAATCAGAACCTTGGCCTGTCTAGCTTGCACTAGTTGTGCTATAATTCCGTGTTTATTTGTGTTAATCTAGTTTTAACTGCTCCTAAACTGCCTAGAATAGTGCTTTGGCATGAATGGGGTGGTATACAGAATGGATGGATGGATGGATGGATGGATGGATGGATGGATGGATGGATGGATGGATGAATGAATGAATGAATGAATATCTTCAGGTAAGCTTTCCTTTAATTGATTGGTTGACCGAGGGGATTTTTTAATGAATGAATGAATGAATGAATGAATCCTTAAAAGCAGCCTTGCTGCATCTTCCCCCAACAACTATAAGAATGTCACAACAGCATGGGTTTGTCATAGAGGGGGCTAAGATTATTGTATTCTGTTGTTTTCCTTGTGTTTTTAATACTGCTCTTTTTAAATAAATTTTAATATGACTTTTAGATTCTTTTTAAAACATTGCCATAATTTATTATTTTAGCTTTTAACTTTGCTTCTTTTGATACCGTTACCCTGAAAATCAGACCTAACCTGAAAATAAGCCCTAGCAGGATTTTTCAGGATGCTCGTCATATAAACCTTACCCCAAAAATAAGCCCCAGTTGAGTGAAACCCCTCCCTCCACCCTTGTGCAGCAACCAGAAGAAGATAACATGACTGTATTTGAATAAATGTAGATGGAAAAAAATAAAACATCCCCTAAAAATCAGCCCTAATGCATTTTTGGAGCAAAAATTAATATAAGATCCTATCTTTTTTGGGGGGAAACACGGTACTATAAGCCGGCTTGGATCCTTTCGGAGAAAGGCGGCATGTACATATTTCAAATAAATAAACAAACAAATAGTAATGAGAGATGGGCACGAACTGCCAGTTAGACGGTTTGTGCCGGTTTGTTCTTCGTCCAAACAAGCGTTTGGTGCTTTAAAGCCCTGCCACCTTTGGTGGGTGCTTGCTCAGAAACGGGGCAGGGAAGCCTTCTGGGGTCAATAAATTGGGTCCCTAGTTTGCTTGTGGTGATGGACAATGTGTAGCCTGCACAATTCAATTGTAAACGGCCCAGAGAGTGCTTTAAGCACTATGGGTTCTTTATATAAGCCATACGCTTTTTGCTTTTGAGAGTTCGGATGCCCATCCCAGTCAATTCAAAGCTCCTTTGGCATCAAGTGACAGAAAGAGGAGGGAACAAAGGTTCCTTCTGTAAGAGGTCTAATTTAAATTTCCTCCATGAAAGAGGAAGCTACCTAAGTGAAAATCAAGAGGGGCAGCCTACCAAGCCCCATCTGGCTGTCTCTTGGCCCCCCCACGTTGGATCCTTAAAACCAGCCTTGCTGCATTTTCTCCCAACAATTGTAAGAAGGTCACAACAGTGTGGGCTGTGTCATAGAAGGGCTGTTACATAGAATAAGATATTGATTTCCACCTATCTGGTCATATTTCGAGGAGTCCACTTCTGTCAATCGATTGAGATCCTGTGGTGTAAGAATAAAGAGAATGACTGGGAATCTATATTTCAAAGCAAGGAAGATTATTTTTAAAATTATATGAATTAATGCAATTATTTCACATTGCTTTTGTCAGGTGATTTATAATGAGAACAGCAGTGGGCCCAGGAAGGAGCTTAATCTAAAAGCACAAGGCCTCGCTAACATTCGTCTTGAGAATGGGGCAGAAAAGTTTAGCAGTGATGTCAGCCAACCAGCCCTCCTAAGCAACAACCCCCTTGATGCAGCATTAGGAAAAGGTAGTATTTTTGTTGGCTTCCAAGTACATCACACCAGGGTGGGGAATCAGGACATGGTTGGGGCAAAGGGTTAATTTTCATCTCCCCCTTTTGTGGTATTTGTGACAAACCCAGACCTACTGGGATATGCCACAGTTTCACTAAGCTGCCACCAACCATTCCCTATAAGAAGTCACACAGACCAGGGATGGATTTTTAACAAATAAAGGAATAAGGTTTATTTAAACACCACACAGGGAAAATAAAATGATCAGGTGAATCAGATACAGTAACGTGGCTTAGTCTCAATCATACATACACACAGTTTGGTTCACACAGAACACTTAACTTGAAGCACAGCCCCTGAACCTATCAGTTCTGGCTAACCATACAGACACCTGAACCTATCAGGTTGGTACTGACTGACACACAGTAGTATCCTGTCTGACACACAGACTCCCACTCAAGCTTCTTCTCTCAGCTTTTCCTCCAGCTTCTCCTCAGCTCTTCCACACACACTCCACATATATATACAGTACAGCCCCTCCTCCTGATGTCCCGCCTTCCACTCCCCATAGGATGGAACTTTCCCTCCAAACCCATGACAGACAGGTAACATCAGTGCTGTATGTAACAGTATTTATACCTATATTTCTGCTAAGGAAATAGCCAGGCAAGGGGCAAACTACCTGACAACCATCATTGCTTCTTATCTCTCACCTAGAGGCCAGAATCCTGTTCCTTAAAGTATATTTGCATAAGGGTGATGATGTCACCGTCAGAGAGACTTTCAATAATTAAAGAGTTCCTGCTGCTATCCTTGGACTTGTCTGACTTGCGCACAATGAGACTGATTGCATGCAAGTCACGTGAGCTCTAGGCCAGAATCAGGAACTCTTTAATTTCCAGAAATCTTCCGCCTACTGGTGACATAATCATCCTTATGTAGGTATAATTTATGGAACAGGATTTTGGCCAGTAATACACAAGCCACCTTTACAAGAAGTGCTTCAATGGTTGTGTTTTGTTTCTCATAGCTGATGTCACACCAGCCTGTGTGGGTGTGTATGATCTAATCTGTGTATGTATTTATTGCTAACCTAGAAATTTATACTGTGAAAGAGGCTGATTCTTCTCCAAATAAAGGGGACTAAACACTTTTATTTGGGGAGTCTGCAATTAATTGTGCAATCTTGATCATGGCAGAGTGCCCTACTATAACAATCACAGTGCCCTCCAAGCCTTACTTTTGCATTATAACACTAATGCAGTGGCAGATATGTCGCAAACAGAACCTGCATATCAATCTTTCCTGCATCCTTTCTCCCTATCCAAGCAGGAGCTGGAGGTGGGGGTTCATCCTTCAGTGAGGGGGGGCAAGGGCCACCTGTGCTTGGTTCTTGGGCTGCTTGCACCATTATGGGAGATCACCTACTGAAGCAGTGGAAGAGCCAACACTGCACCCTTCCACACTGATTACAAGAAGAACATCCCCTGTCTTCTGATCCTCATTATACCATTTCAGGCACCATCTCTGTGAAACTCAGCTTGAGAAATTTACCATTTCTCTGTGGCACTAAAGTGTCTGGATGGTGTGTCACGAAGAAGTGCTAGATAGTTCAATGGTTTAGAGGTCGAGAGTTTGATTCCTCCCTGATGAGGGCTGGACAAAGGGTCCCTTCTGGCTCTTCAATTCTTTGTCTATATGTTGCACAGAGACTAAAAGATACAGACTCTTCCTACCTGCAGGCTTATCCTCTAAGAAACATCTCAGGCAGGAGCAACTTAGGACCCTCTGGATGTTGTTGGCTGACAACTCCCATCATGCTTAACTATTGGTCACAGTGCCTAGAACTCATGGCAAGAGTGAACCAGTGGTGTGCTACCTAGAACTAATGGGTGTTATGCCCTAACAACATCTGGTGTGTGTGTGTGCATGTGTGTTTGTGTGTATGTAACTTGCCTAGCACTGGCCTCAAGATTCAGCTGCTGGGTTTTGCAATGAAGAGAGAGTTTTTAGAGAGAATTCAGCTCCCCTTTCTCTCTGTGATGACTATCTCCTGGCTTAATGTACATGGCAAAACAACTGCATTCAAAACATGACTGGCAGAGCCACAGCAGGGGGATCTGTCTTCTTTCAAAGCTGGCTGGAAGACCTTCCCCTTAGGATCATTTCCTAAAAAGCAAACTGAGGACAGGCTGAGAGCAAGAACAATAGCCTATAAGCAAAAGGGTGACATCCTCCTTCCTTTGGCTGGTCAAGTGCTGAGTGGCCTGTTGCTCTGTTGGCAGAGGAAAAAAAATATCTTTTGCATGAGCGAATCAAGGCAAAGTCTAGGTACACAGCCAAAAGCTAGATGGAGCTGGACCCCGGCTGGCTTGGTCCACTGTTTTGTTTTGTTTTCTAGCAGGGTCCCTAAAATGTCAGCAGGATGCAAAACATGTCTGAACAAACAAGTCTAAAGGGTGAAGGTCAGCTGAGAGTTGCTTTTCATCTGGCCTCTCCCTCCTGCTCTCCTTAAGACTTGCAGAGAGTAACTGAGAGCCCAGCAAAGAAGCCACATCTCTTGGTCAACCTGCAAATGTTAAAGAGGAAGTAAAGGACAAATTACGCCTAGGAAATCTCTCCAAAGCTTGCTTTAAAAAAAAAGGTCTTTGCACACACACACACACACACACACACAGAGAGAGAGAGAGAGACTCCTTCATTGTGCATGAAACAGACCTCATTCCAAAATGTAAAGACTTCCCCAGAATAACTATAAATATAATCAAAACAGTTTGGAAAATTGAGGATTGTTTAAAAGTGACCCATTTGGAAAAATGGATGCTTTAGTCCTTAGGACCTTTAACAAGGTGGCTGCTTTTGGAAGCTGGCACCGAGTGCAGAATAAAAATGTTGGAGCGTGTGTCTGAGCTTGTGGGCATGCCTGGGAGTCACTTCTCCTTATTGTCAGACGTCTCTTCCTGAATGTGCCCTGGAAGCGGCTGCTGAAATCTCAGACGTCAAAGAAGTGTCTTGGAAAAGATTTTGGTGGTCTGCCTCCAGGATGGGACTTTAATGCCCTGTAGTGTGTCGTTTCTTGTCCTGAATGAGGGTGTAATCAGATAGCTGCACCTGTCTGATCACACTGGAAAGGGTTACTTTGCAAGGAGCAATCTCCCTTAAAGCAACCGTTCCATCAAACTGGGAATCACTCCAGCCCAACCATGAAAAGTAGAAGCCCTGTAGCTGGATCAAAAAAGTTCAGTTTGGGGCATGGGGTTTGGGTCAGGCTGGAGAACATTTCCCCTGAGTTGTGTGATTGCCAGGAAACAGATTTCACTGGCACTCTGGATTGTGATCTGTTTCCCCATGGGATTACACCCCGAGGAACTCAAGCAAGTAAAGACAACCCAAGAGGAATTAACCAATGGTAGTAGTTACAACATGGTCCCTTAAGCTGTATTCAGACCTCTTGAATAACAATAACTTCCTGGAAGGAGGAGGAGAAGGAGGGAGGGAGAGAGAGAAGACAACTAGTCCATTGTGCCATGTAAAGACTCTTTTGTCATGATCAGCATAAGAGGAACTTCATTTTCCACTTCATTCCAAACAGAGTGTGGGATGAAAGATGAATGAGCAGCAGGATAAGACCTTGAGGTTAATATAGTCCTCTGAATATTTCTGGATTGGAATGGCACTAATTCTGTGCAGAGCATTACATTTTTTTAAAAAAGGCAGCTATCTGGTATTTTCTGCCTGCCCTCCATCCACTTCGATGGAGCCATGAGCTTGAAAGAACAGCTTTTTGAACCCCATCACCCAGACTCTCTGTATGACATTATATCTGTTTAATGTATCCTATTTTCTATTCAGCACAAAAGCATTTGAACATAGGACAGTCAGAAAAAGCATTTCTAGATTTTGTTGCATATGAAACTCTTACGTGGGTCACTCATCTATTTGCATGCACCCCCCCTTCCTCCCTCCCAGGTGTGCGTCTTCCGGTCTTCCAGTCTTCCAGCAAAGAACCCAGTCCTCCTCCTCCATCTTCTGTGTCCACCTACCTGGTGCCCAACCCAAGTGTGAGTGGAGGAAGCACCTTGCCCTTTTGGAAAGAGGCAGAGAGTCGGAAGCAGCCGCCACCACCACAGTTCGGGCAAGGACCTGGTCACAGCCCTTCCTACAGCAAGCTTCAGAACAACTGGACAGAAAACACATCAACAGGTGAAGATTTCTTATTTAGAGGTGGCTTGTCAAGGAATTTTGTTTTGTTGTTGTTGTTAAGTCGCGTCCCACTCTTCATGACCCCATGGACCAGAGCATGCCAGGCCCTCCTGTCTTCCACTGCTCCTGGAGTTGGATCAAATTCATGTTGGTCGCTTCAATGACACTGTCCAACCATCTCATCCTCTATCATCCCCTTCTCCTCTGGCCATCACACTTTCCTAACATCAAGGTCTTTTCCAGGGAGTCTTCTCTTCTCATGAGATGGCCAAAGGATTGGAGCCTCAGCTTCAGGATCTGTCCTTCCAGTGAGCACTCAGGGTTGATTTCTATCAGAATGGATAGGTTTGTTCTCCTTGCAGTCCAGGGGGCTCTCAAGAGTCTCCTTCAGCACCACAATTCAAAAGCATCAATTCTTCAGCAGTCAGCCTTCTTTATGGTCCAGCTCTCACTTCCATACATCGCTACTGGAAAAACCATAGTTTTGACTATGCGGACCTTTGTCGACAAGGTGATCTCAAGGAATGGGAATAATTAATTCCAAGAAACCCCATCAGAATGGGTTTTTCTGGTATGGCTGCATAGCGGGAGAGTGAGAACAATAAAATGCTTCTTTCCATACACTGTATGGTGAAAACCATTGAATTTGAGGCCAGGAGGTGTGAGGACAACAGCTCCTGACTTGGACAGCTTGAGAAAGGAATTGGGCAAATTTGTGGAGGCTAGTCAGAATGGCAGAATTTTCAGAGCAGTCGCTGTGTTAGAATGCCGTCTATTACAGCAAACAGTGTTATGTGCTGTTCACAAAAGTTGGGGAGGGAGTTAGGCTAGAAGGCAATATGCCTACCATAATCATTGATGAGGATAAATTGATGACTGTAAATGTGATAATATAAACTAGTATCCCAATAGATCAGATGATGCTTGATTGATTTGTCTTTCTCATATATTGCTGCCTACTTTTCGAATAGATTCCTTCTCTGTTGCCTTGCTCTTTTTTTTGGAGTAATGCTTAAAAGTTCAGACTAGTGGCAGGAAACGCCAAAGGGCAAAATGAGATGAAACAGTGGAAGCAGCACACGAAAGATGCAAAAACGAAAGAGGCAATCCCCACCCCCCAACCAAAAGAACTCAAAATAAAACAAAAATGAACGTTTCCACAGTGTCTATCCCTTGGAATAGAATGTTAGACTGAACCAACTTTTGGTCTAACCCAGGAGAAAGGTTCTTATAATTTATTTCCCTTGAGAAAATCACTTGCAAAATACATATTATTACTTTTGCTGTATTTTGTAATGGCAGAAGCAGCTCATTGAGTGATGAAGTCGCTTCTGATAAGATCTGAAATGATCAGACAAAAACTTCCTTTTAAAAAATGACACAAGTCACAGCAACCTGCAGTCTTACATCTCACTGTAGATGTAAAGACTTCCTTGAAGTGTTACGATGAATGAATAAAGACCAAGAAATCCTAACCTAAATCCTGCATTCCTCTGGCAGGCTACAGCGATTGTACTGGAACTTCTCTCAGTGCTGTTGGAGAGCTAGCTCTGGAGTGTCACAGCCTTCTGGAGCAGGGTTTTTGGGATCCATGTGGCACAAGTATAAGAAAAGGAAATCAGCCCTGTAGCTTCTGCTGATTTCACGGTGCTGCTAGCCAAAATCCAGCACTACACCTTGCCCAAAGTGTACTTTCTCCCTGCCTACTCTAAGACTGCAGTCTAACAATCTGAACACTGTTCTAATGTAACTCCCACCTTGACGGTAGAGGGTGAGAGTATAGCGTGAGCATCCAGACATATGGATTGTGAAGCAACTAAGGTAGACTCAGCAGCAAAACCACCCACTAGCAAAACCACAGGGGGATTAGTTCTGGGGGTGGGGGGAGGTAGAAGGCATGGCCAAATCTTGCAGTGCTTATTATTTTTCGCCCTTTCCACCCCCTCCCCAGGGCATTACAGCAGACAGAAAAGTTGCTCCATCTTAGCATGTGGGCGAGAAACCATCTTGAGCTGCATGACCGAAGGACGCCTGAACCACCTCCTAGACGTTCTGCGCTCCCAACAGCTCTTGTCCAGGATGGACTACGAAATGATCACCTCTTTCCCTACGTTGACTGGCCGGGCCCGTGCTCTGCTCGACACTTGCCTTAATCTTGGGGAAAAGGCCTCCCAGACCGTGGTGAATGTCTTGTCTGCCAGCAAATGCACACCTTTGCTCCAGAGCCTCCAGATGAATGCGGTGAATTAAAGCATGCACACCCTTGGGAGGAAAAAGAAAGGGTATTTCTGTGGAACTGCCGGTTGCAGTAGCACTGATTACTTACTTCTTTGTTTCTCGCTCTCACGGATGAAAAGCTTTGCCCTATGTCAGCGCAGAGACTTTTATTCTTTCCAAGAATCAATGTGAGTTGGATTGAGAAGACAAGGCACCCGGTGCCGGGAGTAATAGCATCAATAGCCTTTCAATGTTGATGGCCACTCAGTTGGAGGTTTGTGGTGCTCCTGGCTGAGGTCTCACTCCTGGGCTCCCTGTCGAAGAGAACAGACAGGCGTAGCCGTGTGTTCATATGGTGGAGCAAGCAGCTGCAAGAAACCAAAGGAAGAGAGACGTGTTGCTCCAACAAAGCAGGAAGAAAGGTTTCCTGGGGTGAAACGGAAGTTAAGGACAAACATCACATCAGGCACTTTATTTGAAATGAAATTTAATTAGTAACAAACCTTCCAGAGTGCTTCCAGCCATGCGGTGAGGTCGAGGGTCAGTGTTCTTAAATAAACTATGGGCAAGTTCAGATTTTAGTCCCAGTTTGAGTAGATCCGTTGGAGAAAATGGACATACAGTATTAGTTGGCAGGAATGGACATCCAATGTATTTCCCCGGGCCAATTTTAGTTTATCCTAAGGCTAGCTGGAGAGCCCAGGGAGTGTGGTGGACAGAGGGCTGGGTGAGGACTCAGGAGACCTGGATTCAAGCCACTGCTTTGCCATGAAAATTTACAGCGGTGGTGGTGAATGAAACATCTCATGTTCCTTGAAAACCCTATTAGCACTGCTATATGTTGCATGTGACTGGCTGGCATGGAACACACCAGACTAGTTCCGCCTAGGTCCCATTGACATCCATAGGAATGCAAGTCGTGACTGCAATAATTGATTTCCATAGAACTATGTGCAGTTAACCTGGGATTGTGCAGCTTGCCCAAGACCACATAGGCTGGCTCTTCTCTCTGTAAGAACAGCGGGGAATTGAACTCACAACCTCGGGTTCTGTAGCCAGACAGCTATACCACTGAGTTCTCCTGCTAGCTGTTCAAAACCCTGAAAAGGGTCACCATAAGTCAGAACTGACTTGATGGCGCATGATTATTCTCATTCTGAGTTGTCGTTATTAACAGGAAAACATATATGTGAAAATGAAAATATTCTCATGTGGGTTAATGGGGGGCAGAGAAGTGATGGGGGGGACCTCTCTTCTGGGCTAGAACATGTTGCATTTCAATCCATTGTCAGATATGCAGGATTTCTAAGAATGTCAGTAGAAAGACTTCCAAATATTAGAATCTGGGCATGAAATCCTTACCCTTAAAAAAAAAGATGACAAAGAAATGGGAAATCTGTGTGTAGTATGGCTTGTGGTTTTGTTGAAGTTGCCTTTTTAAAATGTGTATGTGTGTGTGTGTGTGTGTGTCAAACAGCCTCCGAAAACTGCTAAATACCTTCTGTTGTTTGACCTCGGACCGTAACAAATGTATGTGAGCCAATTAAAACAAAGTGCAGTGTCAATGATTAAAATCATAACCGCTGGACAGAGTAAGCCTTAGTTATTTTTTGTTTAGATTACTGTAACACTCTACATGGAACTGCCCTTGAAGACAGTGTAAAAAAATTCAGCTGGTTCAAAAAGTTGCAGCCAGGCTGCTGACTGGGGCCACTTACAGAGACCAGATCAGCCCCCTGTTACGGCAGCTTCACTGGTGGCCAGTACATTTCCAGAAAATGCTGGTTATGACCTACAAAGTCCTATATGGTTTGGGTCCAGGCCATCTGAATGACCGTATCTCCCCATATGAGCCTTGGCTCTTGATAGAATCGTAGAATAATGGAGTTGGGAGGGATATCTGTAAGGCCATCAAGTCCGATCCTCGGCTCAATGCAGGAATCCAGATTGAAGTATATCTGATCATGCAGGAATCCAGATTGAAGTATATCTGAGCGATGGCTGTCTAATTTTCTCTTGAATGCCTCCAACGGAGTGATCACCACCTCCCAAGATAATTGGTTCCATTGTCATACCGCTCTAACGGTTAAGAGGTTTTTCCTGATATGAGCTCTAACGGTTAAGAGGTTTTTCCTGATACGAAGCCTAAATCTGTCTTCCTGTCGCTTGATCCCATTCGTGTGTGTCCTTCAGCAAGCCTTCTTTCATTTCTACCACCTTCACAGGCATGTCAGACGGGAATGCAAGGGGGGGGGGCGCCTTCTCTTTGACTGCTTCCTTGGTTGTCCTCTCTCAGAAGTCTAAAAGTTGAGCCCCTCACTCTTGTCCTCCTGGTGACAGTTAAAAGACCACCTGTTTTCAGACAAGCCTTTAAAAATGAATTGGGCAGTTCTGATCTCATGTGCTGGACATTATTATTATTATTTAATGTGTTTTAAAGGTGTTGTAAACCATTTTAACCAACTGTTTTAATACTGCTGTATGTTGAATTGTTCTTTAGTGTCATAATTTATTGTGGTTCCAATCCATTTGTTTTTTGGTAACTTGTGAGGATTCTTGGGTCCCATTCTTGGGAGAAAGGCTGCACAGAAATGTAAACCAAAAAAATTGTTGAAAGAAGCTCATTTTGTCCCATCATTTGCAATCTACAGCAAGGAGGGAGGGACTTAATTGGCTTTGTTAGAGTACAGGATACTTGCTGTGAGGGAAGGGGCTTTTACAAAAGAAGCTTTTAGCTAATGCACTGCTAAATTTGAACCCCATCTTTCCTGGTGTGAAGAGTGTGTTGTGTGAAGAGTGTGTTGTTTCTGGGTACTTCTGGTCATTGGACAAAAGACAATGGAGGAGTCACTGAGTGATGAACTTCCCTAAAGGAATGGAGAAAGATGAAATCTGATATCAGCACGCCTCCAGATGGTTTTACAAGTTATATCTCTTCTGTCTTGGGGCTTTTAGCGACAGATCCTGATGCCTTGACCTGTAACAAGGATGATTTTTAGACTTCTCTGCCCTCCCCCCCCCGACTCTCAAACTTTGCAATGCCCAGCCTGACGAAGAGTCTTGCAGGATGGAAAGCAAGCCAGCCTGGTTTTGATACCTTGGTGGCCAAAATAAAGGCATTGCTTTTAATTTGGGGCTTTTAGCGACAGATCCTGATGCCTCGACCTGTAACAAGGATGCTTTTTAGACTTCTCTGCCCTCCCTCCCCCCCCCGTTGGGGTCAAGAAGAGCAGGACACGACTTAATGACTAAATCACTGGTTCTTAACCTTGGGTTACTCAGGAGTTTTGGACTGCAACTCCCAGAAGCCTTCACCACCAGCTGTCCTGACTGGGGTTTCTGGGAGTTGCAGTTCAAAAGCATCCGAGTAACAAAGGTTAAAGAACCACTGGACTAAACAACAACAAGGCACCCCTACCTGCCAGCAGGGGGAGCTCTATCACACAGCAGTGCAACAGGATCAAGAAAGATAAAGTCCTGTCACTCAACAATTTTCCGCAGTTCAATTTTTATGCTTTCGGGAAATCCGGCATCCATGCCAAAATGTTAACCTTCTATGTTTCTGCCAAGACTAACTTTCTTTAGGCTTTTGAAAGAAATAGGCCCTAAGGAGAGGTAGCCAAAGTTTTATAGAACTTCGTTTCCCGTTACGCAAGAGAAGGAGAGGGCTTATAACGACAACAACCACAGATACACGACTCAAAGAACTCGTGCATTAAACTGAAGCTTGGGACATTTCTTCCTTAGAACCTTTCAAGAGCAAGCAGAATTTTTTTGCCATGCCAAATAAGGATGAGAATTGCAAGAGAAGGAGAGGGCTTATAACGACAACAACCACAGATACACGACTCAAAGAACTCGTGCATTAAACTGAAGCTTGAGACATTTCTTCCTTAGAACGACAGACCTTTCAAGAGCAAGCAGAATTTTTTTTGCCGTGCCAAACAAGGATGAGAATCGTTGGCTCCCCAGATGTGTTGGGTTTCGTCAGCCCCCAACTAGGGCAAGCAACGCTAAGAGATTAGGGATTCGTAGTCCAAAAAAATCTGGAGTACCAACAATGCCCGACCCTTGTTGTGGAATGCTGTCCCCATCCTCTGCTCTCAGACCTTGAGACCACAATGCGCTCACTCTAAATGATGTCACTTTGTTCTAAGGTGTGGAGATCGGCGCAACTTTGCACTGATGGGGGATGTTTTTATTTTCCCCTTGAGGAAAAGACCTCTAGATGGAAGCAATGAGAAACTGGACAGGGGTGACACTTAATCTGCCCCTCCCAAGGTTCCAGCTTTACTTGCTTTCAGGTTATAACTCTTGAACAGGGCTATGACTTCATCATGTCATTAATCCATGGTGGTAACTGTGGGCTGCAGGTCCATCTTTGCCTTCTTAACTACTGGTCTCTCTACCGTTTCCAAAAGGATTTCCCATTTCGCAAGCAGCTTTGAAATTTGAGCGTGATCTGAAGCTGGATAATCCCGGCTGAGAAAGACCAGCATAGCCACTGATATGAAACATCGGCGTATGTAGAATTTTCGCCATTGCAGGATTGCGTCATAACCATTTGCACCTGTGAAGAAGGAATCCTATCGTCAGATCAAATGAGAAGTTGGTATAAATGGTATCACAACATCTTATCTGAGAAGGAAAGCTGTTGCATCAAGACGCACAAACAGAGTGAGCAGGCTGTGGCCAACTAATTGAGACGCTCAAGTGCTTTTCTCATAGGCAACATAGATTTCTCTCTTGAGGTTTTACGCTGAAGCTGGTTTCAGTTGCAACGAAGCAATACCATTCCTCTCCTTAAAAGTTTTAAATCTTATGCATTAAAGAATTCGTTAGCGGTTAAGAAGAATTGTGTTACAGTCACTGTGAACGAGTGGTGCTGATCACCAAGCCCTGTTGGTCTCTCAGACTCTTCCAAACACACCGTCCACACAACAGGAATAGAAGCTCAAGTTGTGGGACACGTTGTCAAGTCAGACTTGACTTGATGGGTTCCCCCCCAATTTGCAACTTGGAACCCACTCTCCCCACCTTTATTGTCTGGGGGGTGGGGGAAAGCTTATTTTTAATAGGGACTCAGGCTTGGGGCTAATTAGTTTAAAAGAAAGTAAATAATTACATTTTGAAGCCAAAAGATTGCTAGAAGTCCATGGTTTGAGGGTGGGTGAGGGTAAAAACGTGGTGCCCCTCCTGACCTCTGGCTGAAATAACTACAGAACACCGTGGCCTGTATTCCGTTCGGAGTGTACTGGAGATCACTTATGTTTTCCCCTGTTCTGGCAACCCACAGATCACACAACCAGTTATGTGACCAGTCCCTCTACCGATGCAAGACTGGACACAGGGAGCTGTCTGGGGGTGGGGGGCGTGTGTTGGGTCTTCTCTCTCATTTGCAATGAACAAAAGCTGTGAATCGTGTTGTGAGCATGCTCTTAAAAAGGGAATGCCATAAACCTCTTTGCAAAATTTTAAAGATTTTTATCTGAGGATGCATCTTCTATTCGGAACCAGAAAATGAACAGATGCCTTCCAAAGAGGGGCGAAATCCCTTCTAATTAGGGAGATGAATATTCCAAAGGAAAGAGAGAAAATAAGATGGAAAACTGCATTTCAAAAGCTTTTCTTTTTCTTTTAATACCATCTCAAGATATTTGGGCTTCCAGTGATTCCTTATTCTTGTTTTCCAAGGTTAAGAATTCTTCCTTGAGGACCACGCTGTGCACAGCCTGTCTTTCCACACACATTCACAGCTGGGATCTATCTGGAATTCTCAATAAGGTGTTTTGTTTTTCTAGCATATCTTTAACACAAAGAACAAGCACACTCTTTTAGCTTTTAAATCGCTGGAAGACAGGCTGCTGCAGAGCAAAGGAACATGGCCAAAGAAACCTGGGGGTCCAAATTTCTCTCTCTCTTTTTTAATGACTCTTGAGTTGGTGAAAGCTTGGAAGCATTCCATGCTAAGAGCAACCCTAACTACAGTTGATGGTGGATATTGGGAACTGTAGTCCAGAAATGCCAACATTTCCATACTCTGACTTTTGCTGTGTTACCGAGTTTCGAATTTCTCGTTATATACCTCCAGCTGTGCAGCAGAAATGCAGGGATTTACAAAGCAGAATGAACTTCAAACTAGATTTGGTCACCTTTTTTTTCTCATCAACTGGCACTTACAGTCTCAGTAATTCATTCTGAGACATTAGTAGGAGAAAGAATAAAAGGTGTTTTATAGAGTCACTGACTGCTTCAAACAGATATAAGAAAGGGGGAAAACCAGAGTCTTTGAATTCAGAGTCAGAGAAGGAATGATTGGTTAGCGCTGGGTAGATAGACTGTCATCCTGGCCCAGAAAAGTTCCTTCTAGGAACCTACTAAAGGCAGCATACAACAAGGCTACAAAAACTCCAAGCATCCCTGGGACTGTGCAGTTTGCCCAAGGTTACACAAGCTGCCTCTTCTTTCAGTGGGGAATCAAATTCCCAAACTCTGGCCCCACAGTCAGGCAATCTGATTCACTGAGCTATCCAGCCAGTTTATACCATATATCCTTCCAAGGTCAGTAAAACGAGTACCCAGCTCGCTGGGGGAGGGGAGGCAATGTGTAGCCTGCATAATTAACTTGTAAACCGCCCAGAGAGTGCTTGAAGCACTATGGGGTGGTATATAAGCAGCACACTTTGCTTTTAAAAACCTGTGTCCTGTGGGGTTGCCAGGTCAACCGCATCCCGTTCCCTGAGATTTTAGGGTCAAAATCTGGACCCATGGGACTATCTTTGTTCTGTCATGGGGTGTTGTGCAACAGCAAAACTGATTGTGGAAAGAGGCAAGAGGTGAGCCTAGGTAAATGGGCCAGGAATCTGGTAAAACTTGACTAGCCAGGTCATGTGGTAACTCAGAGTTGGGAGCAAAACAGTTTTGGAGGGGTGGCCAGGCAGGTGTTTAAATGCATCCAATAGCTTCAATAGTTGCTGATGTTCTTCATAGGGTGTGCCCCCATTTCACATAATCAGAATAGCTTCTCTTCCAGCAGTGCTCAGTCTGAGATTTGTCTCCTCATCCAGAAATGTGAGGAAGCACAGCAATCTTCTGGGACTTCAGCCAGCACCTTGAGATCTGACAATCCTAACATGTGCTGGATGTTTGAGGAGAATCATTTGTTCTTGTTTAGTCATTAAGTTGTGTCCAACTCTTCGTGACCCCATGGACCAGAGCACGCCAGGCCCTCCTGTCTTCCACTGCCTCCAGGAGTTGGGTCAAATTCATGTTGGTCGCTTCAGGGACCCAACTTCGGGTCAGAGGATGAGATGGTTGGACAGGGTCATCGAAGCGACCAACATGAATTTGACCGAACTTCGGGAGGCAGTGGAAGATAGGAGGGCCTGTTGTACTCTGGTCCATGGGGGACACGACTTAACGACTAAACAACAACAAAACATCAGATGAAGCAAAAATCTGGTACAGCACTGAAATCTTGCTAGCTTTAATCCTATGGTTCTTTCTATTGTTTGTTTGTTTTTTACTTTGAACACCTTCCTTTTCATTCCACCGAGATTTTGTTGCCTTGGAGACCATACTTTGGGCCAGAGGGAGAGACAGTAAGATTGTTTTAAAAAGTAAATACTGTATTGCAGGCACACCTGTTTGATGCTTGAAGTGCTCTCCCATCCAAAGCAAACTGAACCCCTCTAGTGCTGCTCCATGAATTTCTCATAGCAGAGGAAAATAGAGTGTGTATTGTTGTTGCTATCATGGATGTTAATGCTTTGTTAAAGGACAGTAAACCTTTGAACGGATGCAATTGGAGAACGGGGCATTTTCATAGCATCTCATGTAGAGGATTTTATAGAGCAAGTCATTGTTGCTAAAGCAGATTGAACAGGCTATCGTTTGTAACTTTCCCCTGATTGAAACATGTAAAAATACAAAGTAGAAGAACGGTTTGGCAGCAACCCTTTAAAGCACAGGCTTCAGCCTCCATATGAAGACCATATAAATTCCCCAAAGAAAAAAGTATTTTTCTGTGTCTCCACTTCCTTTTACCTCATCTGAACTATTTTGTGATCCCAAAACAGTTCATACAATGACAATGCTGTGTGTCAAGGGAATGCGGTTTCTCCAGCTGTAACTTGGAAAGAAAATATTTTATTGTGGATATAAACTAACTTGGCTTTGTATTGTTCCTTATTGAGCTGTATACATTGCATCTTTGTCTAAAGTCAGACTGGGGGAATTTTCTTTCAACTCTTTCTTCCCCTTCCTTTGTTAATATAGCAGTTAATTTTTAAGCTGCTGTAGAGGATCCAACCACTGATGTAAAAATCAGGTTTACTTTTCCTCTTTGTCCCTCTGCCATGCGACACAAAGGGGACTTAGAAACTGACTAGAAGAAATATTTAAGGCCTGTGAGTAAAGGCCAAGGTGTAAAGACCAGACAAACATAAAATGCAGACAACTAGAATACGCCAGTCACACTATGAGCAACAAGAAGTACAGCTTGTTATACCTGATCAAAGTAAAATAAATTGGAAAAATAATCCAGGAAGGAGAAGACTTTTTAAAGCTAAAATTACTCACATATCTGGGATCCCCCCCCCATATTTATTTCTTTTATTTGTTCTGCTCAATTTTTCTATATATTCATATCATCCCACTCTTTCTGCAAAGAGATTGTGCATACATGCCAACATCCATTGTATCATAAAAACCCTGTGAAGTAGATCAGGCTTGGGGGCCATGACTCAGGGGCCAGCTCCTCTTACTGTGTTCCCGAAAATGAGACAGGGTCTTATATTAATTTTTGCTTTAAAAAACACATTAGGGCTTATTTTCAGGGGATGTTTTATTTTTTTCATGTGCAACAATCTATATTTATTCAAATACGGTCATGTCATCTTCTGATTGCTGCGCACTGTGGAGGGTGGGGTTTCACTTAACTGGGGCTTATTTTGGAGGTAGGTTTTATTTTTGGGGAAACAGGATAGTGAGCATCATGGATGACCTGAGCCTCAGCTTCCCTATCCCTAGTCTTACACTCATAGGAACTTGACTAATTTGTTTTATACTAGGAGAAAGTAACTACAATCCTCCAAAGAGCTGCTCAACTGCAAGGAACATAATGTCCACTGCTGCCACTTGGTATTGTTCACACATGTGCACCCAGCATCTTCCACTTAGGGTGAATGACAACTCCCAACATTCACAGCCAGCAGAGGTAATGGCTGGCAGAAGATGATGAGATCCATAGTGCAACATACCTGGAGGACGTCAGGTCGGAAAGTCTGACCTACACTGATTGACAGTGGCTCTCTAGCATCTCTGACTGGAGATCCTGTAGTTTTCTTCTTTTTGTTACTTATTCCTCCGAAGAGCTTGGGTGTCATGTATAGCTCTTCACCCGATCCTTACAACTTTTGGAGATTGTTTGCAAGACAGGCAGATAGGCAGGCTCAAAATCACCCAGTGGAGATTTAAACTTGAATCTTCCCACTCTGAATGCAGCACACACACACAAGCTCCCTGAGATGCCAGACATTGGACCTTGTTCCTTTTGCATGTGGACCTGCGTATTACATTGAGCTGTAGCACTTTTCTTAAAATCCTTGTAATGACAACACCTCACAAATATACTCACAACATCAAGTGATCTTTGCCTTTAATCCCTATACTGTGATCCCAATAAAAATGGCCCCACATCACTCAGAAAGGAAATAACAGCTTCAGGATCTTCACAGGAACTCCAGCACAGGGGGGAAAAGATTAAAGAGAGGGAACCTTCTCTATCCTCTCACTGCAGATCGTATCTCCATGTTTGCAGCAGAAGGCAGCCCTACCCCATGGGGAGCTGTGATGTTTGGGGAACAGGGTCTAGCCGAAGGGAGAGTTGGCTTGTCTCTTCTCACCTCGAGCATAGGCCACATCTGTTCTGCTTCGGGCAATTTCCTATGTTCTTCTAACACAGAATTCTTTTTCTTCTCCTAAGAAAGTAAGGTTTTTGAATCCCAGCTAATTCCAGTTTAAAACAGAAGTAGCAAAAGCCATACAGAACGATAACAAATTCCTGAAGGGATTAGCCACACTAGTTTGTTGTGGCCAAAACAATAGAGCCCTGTGACAGTTTATAGATTTACTGTGGCAGAGGATTTCATGGACTGAATCCACTTCATTGTTTTTTGTCAACAGTCGGGCTCAAAAGCCTTGAAGTACAAATAGCAGACCTTAAGGAGAGCCAAAATCCATGCAAGATAAGAACAGCAGTGGTGGACAAAGGTTGGATCCGGATTTAGAGTAAAACTGGTCTGGAAGGAACAAGCTTACGGGCCCCTTTCTTCCTATGACAGACACCCCTCCACAGATGCTGCTCAGAGGATGAGGACAGCAGATGCTAATAAACCATGCTGTGTGCAGGGGTCATCACTTTGACTTCTTGATTTTGTCAGCCAACTCATTTGCCCAATTTCATTTCTTAGTTCAGTTGCCAAACAGAATCATCAATGCAACAGCCAGACCCAACCCGAAACTGCCAGCACTGCAGTCCAGCCAGCTGCTTTTTCCCCCTATTACCGGTATAACCTCTGTGTGGAAGAGTCGTGATTTAGGATTGGTCCAAATACAAGAGACCAAACTTCGGTAAGTGGAGCCGGTCCTCTAGCAGAGGATCCAGCATGTATCAGTATGGTCTTTTTTGGGAATCTTTTGCATTAGTGCTTTAGAGTGCAGCATCCTAGTACTGTATTGAGATTGTAAAAAAGGACTGACTATTCTGGGAAAGGAGTGAAAAGAAAAGGAACTAATTATTTAATTACAAAATCCATTCATGGACAGAGCAAAAAGAAAAGACAGTTGAATTTGAGGAACCACTTTTTTAAAAAATATTTTATTTTTTCCCCTACATACAAAAAACACACAAAAAAACCCAAAAACAATACAAATAAAATCAAAAACGAAAACAAAACAAAACCCCACATATATAGGGAGAACCACTTTGAGAACTCTCTCTCTCAGCTTTCCAAATATTACATGCAAGTTAAGGGAAAAGCTTCAATGCACAGTATGTTGCAGCTTAGCATAGTCAGAAGGACTGAATATCAAACATAATACCTTCTTAAAGCAGTGTGTCTTCTAGTGTAAACATTAAGGGTACTGAGTAACACAGGATTAGGGTTTTTTTAAAAAAAATAAAAGGAAGTGAAATTTCATCAGAAGTAATAATGTTTACAAGATCTTTCTTTATAGAGTTTCAATGGTGTTGCTAGAATTTAATCTTAAGGTGACCCTCCAATATTTGTTTCCCAAGTTATAAATTAACAACACAAGAATGGTCCTGCAATTCATTCTCATGAACTAATGGGGTCTGAATAAATTCAGTCTGGTCAGGAGACTGCTTGTGTTCTGAGACTGTCTTCATCCTTCTTTGAGCAAGTTATACTGTAGATACAGTATTGGAATTTTTGCTATTACGTATTCCAATCTGGAAAGATCTACAAAACCTTCTGCAGTTAAATAACAATATTATAATAAATCTTAGTCGTTATTTACTGACTGATACTAGTGTGAGGATATGTGAATGGATATGTGAATGCGTCTGTAGCTATACCACTATTAAATATCCAGTGTGGAAAGTTACACCTATAGTAACAGTATATCTGGATTCTTAATAGTAAGCTGTTGTCTCCTTTGAAAGGAAGGTTGCGCATCATTTAGTCCTTCAGTTGTTGGTGGACTGCAACTCTTATCTTCTCTCATGATTAGCTGTGCAAGTTACAGCTGATGGGAATTGAGTCACACAACATCTGGAAGGCTACAAGTTGCAAACCCCTGCTTCAGAGCTGTACACAGTTTAAGACTCAAGTACTTGAAGGAACAGCTGCTTCCATGTGGTTATCTTTGCAGACTGTCCTCCAGATCACCATAAGTAAGGTAGGTGATAATAATAGACAGCAAGAGAGTGCGGGAGAAAGTTATTTTTGTGGTGATACCCAGTTTGTAAAATTTCCTTTGTCATCTGATGCCAGAATGTTATATTTTCAGCACCAGGTAAATGCATGCATCATTTCCAGGCTTTTAAATACATTTAAATTATTAATTCAATATGTTGCTTATTGGTATTGTATCTTGCTTTTGGAACCTATATACTTTGGAAACTAGGCTGAGTGGTGGAATATATTTTTTAAAACTGTAAACTGTAGCTCGTCACCAAAATTGTGAGACGCCTGATGTATATGCAGTTTCAAAAATCTGAATGAAGTTGTTTGAACTTTGTAAAGCAGTTTGACACACAGCAAATTTGGTACCAAAATAACGCTCAAATCAAAGGTAAATATAAGCAAACATTTTGTTGTCAGTAAGTCCCTAACATATTGGCAGAGACTGCAATTTTTCACTGCTTCACAGAATGATTTGGCTGTTAGTCTGCAGGTGTCTTTAAATAATGAAACAAACTTTTAAAGGAGTTCAAGAAAGCATTGCACAACTTGAAAGTAAACAATGCTCCATTGTTATCTGAACACCAGTGATTAAACCCTTGGGTTTCGTATATTAAACAAATATGGTTACCAGATTGTAATGTAGGCAGTGCTAAATTGGCTAGAATGCTCATTTGGGACCAAGGAATAAAGTTATATCGTTCTGCTGAAAATTTTAGATTGCAAGTTTATCAGGGTAGGGGTTTATCCTCTTAAAACTCTACAAGATATAGATACTGTATACTGATAGTACTATAATGGTGATGATGCTTGTGGCACCTTAAAATGCTAACATATTTATTGCATTTTGCAGTTTGGAAATGTTAATGGTGCTTGCATTATGTTTGGGAACTGGGAACCTGGCAAGCTTTTAAATAATTGTGTAGTTTTTTATCTTGTGTGCTAGACACTATTTTTATTTTATGTGTGCTTTTAGTGCGTTAATAAAAAAAAATTAAACAAATTGTTTTAACACTGTTGCATGTGTAGTTTTGTCTGCTGAAGTGGGCTTGTCCACTAAAGCTCATTAAAAAAATATAAAAGTTAATATTTACGGTGCCACCATTTTTTAAAACTTTCTAAACTTTTTATTTTTATTTTGTTTTCACCTATAACACTTAGTTGTTTTTAGTGTTGGTGTTATTGTAGTTTTATTTTTAATAACTTGTGAGTCACCTTGGATCCCTTAATTAAGAGAAAGGCGGCATACAAAGGGAAATAGACGGATGGATGAATAGATATTATTGCCCAAAAATGAGTCACCTTGGATCCTTAATTAAGAAAAGGTGGCATATAAAGGGGGGGGGAGAGATTATTGCCCAAAAATGAAGTATCCATGGTTTCCATGGGCCAAATGCTTCTAGACAGATGGCTCCTCAGCACTAACGATCAGAAGATAGCATGAACCTATTCCATCTTTTCCCCTAGGAAAAAAAGCAAGAGCCATGAAAACATCTGGACAGCCTCCTTTGTAAAATTCTATAAAAGATGGACCATAATCCCAAAATACAAGCCTTGTCTTGAAGCAGCCTAAGAAACCTATCAAAATCATAATGAATGTGTTCATCTTTAGGAGACCATTTTTACTGACTCTTCTATTTCTTAGTCAAAGGTGGGGAGCCAATTTCTTGTTTTATAATTTCTTGATTCCTTGCTGCCTTTTGTATTTTTATGATATCTTGGGACTTTTATTCATTTACTTGAGTACTTCTTTGTTGGTCACCCACTTGATCCAGAAAATGTCCACATTTATATGAAAAAAACATATAATAAATTGGACTGGAGACTTAATCCAGACTGAATGTGCCTCAGATTTCTTCTTGTTCTCTTCAGACTTTTCTCTTGTGTGACTCTCTTTTCTTTTAAAAACCAAGAAACAAAGGGCTCACTTGCCTCCATGAACAAAATCTTGATTTGTTTTCCTCATGCCTTGGTTTATACTTTCTAGAAGGATCAGGGGAATGAGGAGCATAGCTGGCTGAGGAGATTTGGGGACATGGAGTCGCTTCCCCAAAAAGTAATGTTTCTAACCACTGGGAAAGAAAGAGAAGGGAACAGATGGCTGAGGGGGAATATGGGAAACATAGTCCAAAAATGTGACAGTTGAAGAAGCTCTGAGGAAAGAAGCCAGCAGAAAGGTTGGGGAAATTAAAAGCCTAACTAGCTGAGGAGATTTGGGAAATAGAATCCCTTCCCACTGGGAAGAAAAGGAGAAGGGAAGAGATGGCTGAGGGGGAAAATGGGAAATGTAGTCCAAAAATGTGATGGTTGAAGAAGCTCTGAGGGAAGAAGCCAGCAGAAAGGTCGGGGGAATTAAAAGCCTAACTGACTGAGGAGGTTTAGGACACAAGAGTCTCCCCCGCCACCTAAAGAAGCGCTGACTGAGAGGAACATGGGGGTTGTAGTCCGTGAATGTCACATTTCAAGCTGTGGGGAAGAATCGGGCGCCAAAGAAAACCAATGGCTGAGGAGATTTGGGACCGAACCCCCCCTCACCTAAAAAGTCGGGGGAATTAAAAGCCTAACTGACTGAGGAGGTTTAGGACACAAGAGTCTCCCCCGCCACCTAAAGAAGCGCTGACTGAGAGGAACATGGGGGTTGTAGTCCGTGAATGTCACATTTCAAGCTGTGGGGAAGAATCGGGCGCCAAAGAAAACCAATGGCTGAGGAGATTTGGGACCGAACCCCCCCTCACCTAAAAAGTCTGTAATTTTATTTATTTATTTATTTATTTGTTTGTTTGTTTGTTTGTTTGATTTATACCCCGCCCATCTGGTCTAAAAGACCACTCTAGGCGGCTCCCAAGTAACGCTCCCAAGCTCTAGGGAAGAAAAAAAGGAGAAAGAGAAGAGCTGACTGAGGGGAACATGGCTGCTGTAGTCCCAAGAAGAGGCCGTTTCAAGTTCAGTGGGTGACGGAGAAACCCCGCGGCCTGAAGGAGGGGCGAGGCGGGCCTAGCGCGGCCCCCGAGGCGGCCTTCGCGGGGCTCCCGCGCCGCCCAGGCTGAGGAGGGGAAAAAAAAACGCGACCAGAAGGAGCGGCGGCGGGGCGAGAGGTCGCCACGCCTTCCCTCGCTCGCTGGGTCGACGGCGGTGGAGGAAACGGCGGCGGGACGGAGTGGGGGGGAAGCGGTCTGGCCGGCCGGCCGGCGGGAGCATCCTTCTCCTCCGCCTCCTCCTCCCTCCGCCTCGGCAGGGCGAGAGAGAGAGAGGAGAGGAAAGGGAAGAGACGGGGAAGCCGAGCCGAGGGCGAAGGCAGGCCGGCCGGTTGGTTGTCAAGCCAGCAGGCAGGCAAGAAAGGAAGAAGGAAGGAAGGTAGGTAGGTAGGTGCGGCCGCCTCGACGCCCCGGGGGACGGAGTAGAAAAAAACACCGCGGGGAGATGGCGGGGCTCGGGTTCACCTCAGCCCCGGCCGGGCCGGAAGAAGGGGCGGCGCTGCGTGTCCGGGGCGACTAGGAATTTGATGGTGGGGGTTTTCTTGGTTTCCCCCCTCCCTCGCGTTTCGGTCAGGGGCGTCCGATCTTATGATTTATTGGTTTGTTTGTTTGATTTATACCCCGCCCATCTGGTCTAAAAGACCACTCTAGGCGGCTCCCAAGTAACGCTCCCAAGCTCTAGGGAAGAAAAAAAGGAGAAAGAGAAGAGCTGACTGAGGGGAACATGGCTGCTGTAGTCCCAAGAAGAGGCCGTTTCAAGTTCAGTGGGTGACGGAGAAACCCCGCGGCCTGAAGGAGGGGCGAGGCGGGCCTAGCGCGGCCCCCGAGGCGGCCTTCGCGGGGAGGAAACGGCGGCGGGACGGAGGGGGGGGGGAGCGGTCTGGCCGGCCGGCCGGCGGGAGCATCCTTCTCCTCCGCCTCCTCCTCCCTCCGCCTCGGCAGGGCGAGAGAGAGAGAGGAGAGGAAAGGGAAGAGACGGGGAAGCCGAGCCGAGGGCGAAGGCAGGCCGGCCGGTTGGTTGTCAAGCCAGCAGGCAGGCAAGAAAGGAAGAAGGAAGGAAGGTAGGTAGGTAGGTGCGGCCGCCTCGACGCCCCGGAGCGGTTGGGAGAAAAAAACACCGCGGGGAGATGGCGGGGCTCGGGTTCACCTCAGCCCCGGCCGGGCCGGAAGAAGGGGCGGCGCTGCGTGTCCGGGGCGACTAGGAATTTGATGGTGGGGGTTTTCTTGATTTCCCCCCTCCCTCGCGTTTTGGTCAGGGGCGTCCTAAAGCTCTCTCTCTCTCTCTCTCTGTGTGTGTGTGTGTGTGTGTGTGAGAGAGAGGAGTGTGTGTGTGGGAGAGGTGTGTGTGGGAGAGAGATGTGTGTGAGAGAGAGAGAGTGCGAGAGAGAGAGAGCCCTCCCAAGTTTTCCCCTCAGAAAGTCTAAAGAGGGTGGCTTTCTGGTGTGTGTGTGTGTGTGTGAGAGAGAGAGAGATAGAGAGAGAGAGAGAGAGAGAGGTAGGTGTGTGTGTGAGTGAGTGAGTGAGTGTGATAGAGTTGACCCCCCCCCTTCCCCAGGTTTTCTCCTCAGAAAGTCTAAAGAGGGCGGCTTTCTGGTGTGTGTGTGTGTCTGTGTGGTTGGCTGGAAAGTAGGAGCGGGGATGGTGGTGGTGATGCTCTTCAGCTTTGCAGTCAGTCTGGCCAGCGGGCGGTGGGACTGGGAGGCCAGCTATTCCCTGGAGCGGTGGGGGGGGAGAGCCGGTTTGTGGTGGTGGGGGAGGAAAGGTAGGCAGGACTGGCTGGCCTCCGCTCCGAGGGAGAAAGGGAGGCCGGTGGCTTCAGGAAGCTGGTTTTGCATGTCATGGGAAGGAATTTAAAATCGTTATTTGCTTGTTAGCCAAGCAACAAGGAAGAGTCCGGGATTAGAAGAATTTAAGCCTATCCTCATCATCCTCATCACTAGTATGGCCTGAGTGTTCTTGTTTACGAAAGCTTGTGCTGTCATAAACATATTACTGCATAACTGTTGATTTCTGCCAAGGAGGAAGAGAGTCGCTGATGAAATTTTTTTTGGCCTTGGTGGCGAAAACAACTTGCCTTGTTTGGGTGATTGGTGACTCGACTCTTTGTGGGTGGAGGTGAGGACAGGAGCAAGGGAAAGAGTTTCATTTTGCTTTTCTGCCTTTGACAGCAAAGTGGATTGGCCTCATCAGTGCTCTACACAGGATGCTTTTACCTCCATGTTCCTTTATATTTTGTTCTGACATATTAGGTGTCATGTATGTGTGTGTATACGCCATTCAAAAAGTTACTGGTTTTATTTTAAATGTTAATAAATCAAGTTTTTTAAAAGACTGGGAAATGGCATTATTTTGCAATTAATTTGAGAAATGCCCAGAAAGTTGGAATCTTGGGGTAGGATGGAGGAGTCTGGCCTTAGTTATTTGGAAGAACAAATACAGTCTAATTATTATCTTCAAATTCAACCTTCTTGCTTTGGGTAAAACAAAATCAGTGCAAATATTCAGAAAGCTAAATTTGTTTCTGTACTCTTTACCTGTAAAATGGCTGTGCATTTCTAGCTTCTTTTCTAGAAACTAGGGGGAAAATATCTGTCTTTCAAACGTTTAACTCCTTTGCAGTATTTTACATATAGGCATGTTTTGTTACCTGGTGGATACTTTGTGGGTGATGGGAAGTGTTTGAGTTGTTGGTTGTACTCATATTTCTTGGTTTGTGCTTGGGGCAAATTGCACTAATGGTACTAATCTGTACTGTGATGGATAGTTATGACCTCATATCATGTGTGAAGGGCAACCTTTTTCTAGAGTCTGAAGTCCAGCCTCAAGCTATATTCTGCTGCTCCTGGAAAAACAATTTTACTGCCTGCCCTTTGTTTCTTTTTAATTTTGGTGTCTTGATTCCAGAGTGCTCCCAGCAGAAGGGAACAGTAAACAGTTTCTGAACATGTATTTGCGAAGGCTTTCACGGCTGGGATCTGATGGTTCTTGTGGGTTTTTCGGGCTCTTTGGCCATGTTCTGAAGGTTGTTCTTCCTGACGTTTCACCAGTCTCTGTGCCCGGCATCTTCAGAGGACTGGAGTAGGAACATGGACAGAGTTCCTACAGAGCATGGACAGAGTTCCTACTCCAGTCCTCTGAAGATGCCGACCACAGAGATTGCCAAAACATCAGGAAGAACAACCTTCAGAACACGGCCAAAGAGCCTGAAAAACCCACAACAACCATCAGTTTCTGAACACTCTATACCCAAAAGACCCCAGAAAGGGTCACCATAAATCTAAATTGACTTCACACAATTATTGATATTTATATGAGTGTGTTTTCCCCCCTCTCTAGAGAACTAAGAGCACTGTGAAAATCCATCTGTAGCTGAAACATGTATTTAATGACCAGTTATTTAAAAACAAACCAACAAACCAATATAGTGGTTGTTCCTTTTTTACAACCCATTGTAAATTAGACCATGATCCATTAGCTGGTCTGACCCTAAAAGAGTTTAATTAGCTGGACTGAGACAAACCTAGTTTCCCATTATCATATGTGAGTGGAAGGGTTTTTTTTTTTGTTTTTTTTTTTTTTTTGGTGCTTGTGCAGAACAAAGAAAATAGAGCTGTCAGTAACATGGAAGCAAGGAAAAAACCTGGGGGAGGGTGGTCTTCAATTGACTTTCCCCTTG